ACATGTTGAAAAATAACATCCCATATACATTAATTAGTTGTAGGCATATCAACAAACTGTAAATGAGTGGATATTTCACCCCTTCTCATATACTCAATCAACTTGATTGGAAAATCAATATCTAATCAACAAAAGGATACTTGAAATTCATGAATACCAACAATTAACATCTGACGCAGAGTTCACGATGAACGATCTTGAAGTTATATGTACCGTACCAAAAGAAAAACCCCAATTTGATAGGATCAGTAAAATGGCATCATTTTATTTATTTACTAGTAGGCCTAAGCAACATTTTGCATAATGGATAAATATTTCCTGTGAAATTTGTTGTGATACAGAATTCTTACATGTATTTTCTTTATCAGAACAACATATAGGCTATGAAACCCCAATAAACCTAATAGAAAACTATTGGAAGGTTGTCCCGTATTGGTCAATTATGATCATGTACATGAATATCACAAAATGCCATTTTGAAGCAAGGTTAATAATAATATGACATTTTATGTTTGCATCTATAGACCTATCTGGCAGAACAAGGTTAACCAAACATCTCAGTGCATGAATACATGTACACCAATATTCCCCAATAAATACCAAAAAAACATACACCCCTACGTTTGAATATTTTGCTTTCGGTGAACATACAGCTTGGCGTTTGAATATTTTGCTTTTGAGTGAATGTTATCCTGATGTCAATTATCATCATTACAGAAAGCTGCAGGCAAGCCTCCACCAAAAGAAGACAGTGTAAGACTAAGAGGAAACACTTGCAGTTTTTGAGAGAGTGCCAGCAAGACGATCTGGTTGAAACAGTTGATGGCAGGATGATTGGAGGAATGGCAACATTCAAACAGTGGATCCCTTCAAAAGGCTTATTTTCCTGCAAGACGGAGCTGCAGTAAGCCTTGATAACATTTCATTGCCAGGTGAAGATTACTCAGACCAATTTTTGTAATGAATCAAGAGACAGTAAACTAATGGCAAGTTGACTCTGTAACGGTAATGATTAATTGAATGGTTGTTACCTGGTATACAATTTTTTAAGGCAACACTAAGGGACAGTCAACAAGAATGTACCTTACAAAAATGTACCATGTCCTTGTCAAGACATTTCCAGATATTGTAAGATATTCGGTTGCAGAAAACAAATTCATCCTTGATGCATTATTGAAAGCAAACGATTACATGCCAGACCTAACAAACTACTCAGAAAAAATTAATCAGCAACAAACACTTCGTGACAAACATTTTTGTAAGAGTCTCATTAAAAAACAAAGAAAAGTACATGTAAATCAAAACAGTCTAAGACTGTTTTAAATGTGCGTAAAATAAAATACTTTTTTTCAACTTTAAGATTGTAAGGCTTACAATCTTAATGTAAAAATTTCAATTCACGCTAATTCAAAAAGAAAACATCATTTAAGTACTCACAAGGTTTCATTCCCTGAACAAGCAAAGTTATTTCTGCAAAGAGTATTCAGGGCTGTCTAATACTGAAGAACACAAATATCTGGAAATGTGGAAAGCGAAGAAGTGGCTGAGCATCGAACAGAAAAAGCAAACAACTACAGTGGACGATTACAACTCTGCTGTTGCTCATTTATACAAAACTCTTTAAATTAAAATTCTGAACAACGAATAGTTTCATTGTAATTAACATTTGGAATTATACGTCATAAAGCCTGGTCTTTTGAAAAGGACAGAGATCAGAATGCATCTTTAAAGAAAATCATATAGGTCAGTTCCAACCGAGTATTTTTTTTTATAACACCGATTAATCAACAGTCTACAGATGGTATTACTTTCTGAGTTTCAGGGCTAGCTGTCATGGAATTAACATGTGCCTTATACATGTACAATGTACTTATCCAAAGAGATTTTCGGTTTGAAATTTCGCAGGATATTTATAATGCAATAATTATGATTTTGTTGCTTGGGGTAGTGCAAGTGTAAATTGTTTACATGTATATAGACTTCTTGTTCTACAAAAAAGGCCCTTATGAATCGTACCGTTGATTGTACTCATTCTAGCGAAGTATTTCACAAATGCAAGACTCTTAAGTCAGTGATTTATATTGCTTCGGCTTGGAAGTTTTATGAATCAATTTATTTTTCTTGAATTGATGTACTTTGTTTTAGAGTGTCTTTACAATTAATTTTCATTATACAGAGAATCTGGTGATTGTCTTTTCCCCATGTAGCTCAGACACTTAGTCATCATAGAGTCATATAGCCTAAGTGATTTAAGAGATTTCAAGCGTGTCTTGTGTGTACATGTATTATGTTACAAATACAATAATTCTGTTCAATTATGCTCTTGTGTCTCTTCCTTTACTCTTTATGTGCAACTAATAATCCTTTTCCATGCTGCAACATTCAATTTTGAACAATTTGCTGAGTTGCTTTTTTTGTAAAAACATAGAATTCATTTTGGTTATTAACATGGCTCAATGCACATGAACTCCAGCTCCAATTAATGCACAATTAAACTTATGTGGTTTTAGAAATTACAAATGTAAACAAGTTAATTTGTTCGATTAAATTTAAAACAACATACTCTTCGAAATTTCACATAAAGAAAAAAAATAGAAGAGCATCTTTGTACAGTTGGTTTCCACTTCATCATTGTCCATTTTATTTGCATACGTGTTGTGGTTCTCCATGTTTTAGGTTGCTTTATTTTATTTTACTCTACTGTTTTAGACCTCCACAAACTGTTGTAAGGGTTTGCTTTTTTTGAAAATAAACTGAACAACACGTGAAGCTACATTTTTTAAACCATCATCAGTTACCTGGGTCCCTATTTTAAATACCTAAGTTTAAGTTATTGTGCAAGTTTTGATTTGTAGTATTGCCTTACAGCACTTCTTCGGTACGGTTGTGCATGTTAGCAAAACTGCTTTGTGTATGTAGTACTTGCATAATTAAATGTGCCACATCTTTGATTTTATGTAAAGTGCGCCAACAGTTTATTCTTTGCAAATAAAAAACTTCATTAAACATTCAGTTGAATGGGAACAAAATATTTGTTTATAAATGTTGTTGATTTAGCACTCTAATCAGTTGTACATCATTATTTGGGTTTTTTTATGAAGTCAAATACCGATATACCTTGATGTCTAATTCGAAGAATGCTGTATCTGTCATCAAAACGGATCATTGAAGATTGTAAAATCTTGGGACACAGACATTTTGAAAAGAAAACAAGGGGGCATACGTTTACCCCTTGGAGGATACCCCCTCCCCCTCCGGACCTGCCTACGATTGGGCCAATTTCTAAGTGTTTAATTTTGATGATGACTCTGCAGTATTAAATGATTGAACTTGTACAAAATAGGCCTATTTTTCTTTTAGCATTCATGTCACTGTGTTAAAAAACCCTGAAGTTAAAACTTTCTTAGCATTTTTTTTTGAGTGCATATTCTGAATCTAGATTGAGTACTGTATGTATGTATACAATGAAGGGAAACCTGCATCAAATACTACCAACAATTTGTGTATGCACAAATCCTATCTGTATCTGTGCATACTACATTGTGTACAGTGTGGGCCACTTATTATAATAATTTGCCCTCCAGTTGGTGTGGAAACTCTCAGAGGAGTGCTTATTACTGTGTAGCTGAACTAAGCTGACCCAGAGTCAGTGCATGGTCAGTTGGGCATTACCATGCCCCCAGTCCACCTGTTGGTGACCTAGGTTGACTGTGGACATATCACAATTGGCAAGTTTTAGGAGGCGTTGAGTGATTAGACTGATACTTATCTCCAGAGGAGACATGTTCCCATTAATCTTCTCTTCGAAAAGGATGTGGGATTTTGAGAGAATTTTAAATGGGAGAAATTCGTAATGGAAACATTAGTAAAAAATATTTGCATGAATAAGACTTTGCCGGTCTGGAAAAGTTTGCCCTATATTTTGCTTTTCCGTGACCATATGGTTTGATGCGGATCCCAATAATAAGGTTTATTTCTGTTTATTTTTGAAACATTTTGCGAGGAAATTTGACTTTTTACCGAAACAAACGAAGAGCACCGACTGCCCTGCCCTGACCAAACTGCGCAATAGTCGTAGCCTTGTTGCCATTTTGTGATTGGACAATGAACGACGTTCATTTGATGGTGTCTTCGTATCTCCAGTGCAAGTAGCTGCAAGAGCGGTCGCAAGCAGTGCTGCTTACGCACCTGGGATCCGTCCGCACTCAGTATACAATACGTTCAGAATCATTTTAGTGACGGTCTGTTTTCATAACTGAACATCATGTAAAGAAAATAAATTTTCAATTTTCCAAATGATCTATGATTACATCGTGAGATCGTTTAGACACACCCCCATAAATGCATGAAAGTGAATACTTAATTCTTTCGGTCGCATTATCAGTCCTTTTTAGATAGGTATTTTTTTTAAATTAAAACAATGATTGAAGAGAAAAGCAGGGATCAATTTAACACGCATAATATGTACATAAAATTAATAAATTTACATTCATAAAATAATTTTTGAAAGAAAGCATGAATATATATGAATAATATAAGTTTCTTTTTTAAAGAGAGAAGTAATTCTTCCATTCCCAAAGTTTATGCACAAAATTAATGTCCGACGAATCATTGCAGATAGCTTGCAATGTTCATTTAAATATCGAGATATATACACAGTAGGGTTTTGTGAAATGATTTTTCTTTTCCCCCTTTCTGTATCATTATGTGAACGAGATGTGTCACAAAAAACCTGCCGGAATCGGGCCCGCTTGTACGATGAACATGTGCATGCGGCGCCCGTACGTGTACAGACCCGTACATGGTACCGTACGTACTTGCGTACCGGTACATGTACTTCAACGTCGTTAATTGACCAATCACAAAATGGCAACAAGGCTACGACTATTGCGCAGTCTGACCAAGGGCGCCGCCATTTTAAAATGCTGATGTCCGTGACGTCACGTCATCGACATCGTTAACAATAGCGAGCAGGCCCACTACGCACACCTTGTTAAACAGTGTGCATTTTAGTTGGGCACTGGGAAAGAGGTTGTGTATTTAGTCTGTGTTTATGTCATTGTGTATTGTGTATTTTGTAAACGGACTGCAGAATTACTGCTATAATTTTGAGTGCTTACCATGACTTCGGCTCCGATATGATGTGTGTGCTATGTAGATAGGATACTCAAGAACTTGAACGTTTGTGTGTCGAGGAATCTGGAAAGAAAATCGGTATAAAAAAAGGTAGGAATAACACATGAACATTGCGAACCTAGTGCATGTACTTTTGTATTTACATGTTGTGGTATGCGAATCTCCGTAGTAGTAGGCCTACAGTCGTTTTCCAAGTTCCGGATGGCAAACATCACTCAGGCTGTTTTCGGCTCAACTACTCAACGAATTCAAGTGACATTGATTAAAATGTTTACCTTAATTGACTGATGAAGATACTAGGGGCCTACACAATAATTTTCCAAATTTAAGCTCCTTTTAAGTTTTACTAGTTTTAATTTGACTTTACGACATTAAAAGTGCTGATGCCCTTTTTCCTTGTTCCGGATCGGTTCAGTCAATTCCAAATCAATCAAACACTGCTTCGTGCGGAAAAAAAATAATGCAAGAAAATCAATTTTTCGGCCAGAAAAACCTCGAATCAAGCACATTTCTGATAAAGTATTCCGAATCCTATTAGGCTATATAATTTTTCAAAAATAGTTTATTCAAGAGAATTCCAGCAAATTTTAAAAAGAGAAAAGTGTAAATGATTTGAAACTTTTGTCTGCAGCGCAACGGCACAAACTCACACACGGACCAAAAACATTTTGACAGAGCACAGAATACGTCCCACAAAATTGATTTACGTGCGCATGTAGTTGGGTCGTAAGTGCACGCGCTATCCGGAACTAGGCAAAGCATACATGTACATGTAGGTCCTACGGTCATTCGGTGGCGAATTTTCAAAAATTAGAGACTCTACAACTTATTTTGATTCAACAAACATTCGATGGAAGAGTTTATATGACTGTAGTGTATGAACAAAATATTCGAAATCACACGGTACCAGTGATGTACTGAGGAGAAAATTTATCATTGATTCGCAGCTCCCGCGATTTTCTACAAACCGTCCAAACATGTCAAAGTGCGAGTCGGAATTCTGGCCAAAATTCCTCTTCTAAAGAGGTTATCGAAAAGACCTTTGTGTATCAAGAAGCTTACATTTTCCTTTGCAAAATGCACTTCGTCAGAAAAAAAAATATATTGGAGACTTATCCAAAAGAGGTAGGTTTTTATTTGAAGCGATCCAGAACTAGGAAACATCAGGAACTAGGACATGTAGGAAAACGACTGTAAATATAACATGGTTTGAGGGTGGACAGTGGATATTCGCACCCCGAGGTATTGAAAGTTGACGAACTAGTTCTCGAGGCAAAGCCCAACTAGTCTCTATTTACACATTTAATGGTCAGCCACTAGTCCGAAAATTTGGGACTCTCAATACTGTGTATGAGAGTCCCAAAACTTAAGGTATCCATATCGTGCAAAAGTTTGTGCTGCATAATAAAACCAGTGTGAATCAAATGTGCAAGCTTCTTACTCACTACAGTTTCCTCAATAATCCCCGAGACTTCTGCCTAGCAAAGTTGCTGTTGTGAGCATTGCATCCCCAAAAATTCAGCGTTTAATTCTAATTTTGCAGGGAGTTATTGAAATCCAAACGCGAAACATCACGTTGATGTGTACTGCAATGCATTGTGCAAAAAGACTCCTCAGCTAAAACATTTTCATCGTGTAGATAAAACAGCGCCCTCTTGTTGATCTGAGTGAATGCAGAATGTTTCATTTTTTAACAGAGGGCGCTATATTCATTTGGCCATCGATTAAAAATCAAGTAAGCTGCAAGTGCAAGGTTTTTCCTACACCTACCCAGAATACCTTGGGAATCACACCACCATTTCTAAAGCATGGAGAATGACGTGGATGGTTTTTGAACTGTCAAAAACTTGCCTTAAAATTGGATTTAGGTGACATGCTTGCAACTTAAGCATTTTGATGTATGTGTTGTGTGGGCATTAATTAGCCGAATGGTGAGTAAAAAAACGTCAGTAGTAATTTTGAACGTTTTTATGCACTCACGGTCCCAGTCTGGGTCAGCCACCAGACTAATGAAACTGAATGACATGAGAGGACAGTCTTTTCAAATAGTTGGAACATGGTTGGACATGTACCAGTCTAGTCTAACGTTAGCCTCATTTTGAAATCACTTGACTTCCCTCTCATGTGCAAGATGTTGAAGAAATGACTCCTTTAACCCTAACTCCCTAGGCCTTTTTGCTAGGATGTAGCCTCAATCCTGCAAAATCCTCCAATTGGCCTCATGGAAAAATATATATAGCCTCAATCCTGCAAATTCCTCCGTCATTTCTTGAATATGGTCCATGGAGGGATGACCACTGCCTGAATCCTGCAAAATCCTCCGGCTATGTCTGTCAATAGGCTGAGGCAGAGGCATTGACATCCTGGAGCAGTGCGGAGGATGTCAAGTATAATCAAGGACTAAATTTATGCACGACTGAGCATAAACAACACAAGGTCCGGCCCAAGACCTTGACACAGTGCGTACTCCGAAATCAGCAACGCACTTTTGCCATGTAACCTCAATCCTGCAAATTCCTCCAATTTGCAGAAAGGATTTTGGAGGATTCAGGGCGGTTAGGGTTAAAAATGGAATTGAGTCTGCAAACTTGGTTGGTGAAATACTGAGAATCCTTTCTTTGCCTAATGGAATATTTTGAGAAATTTAGTAAAGAGTGATTATATAGTTGGCCTGATTTAGTTTTGCATGTTTCAGAGCACTCCAGGGCCCAGTCTGCATGGTCTGGGTGCAAGCCAGTTACAATGTAGTCTGGTTCCTTGGCCTGATGATTCTCCGAAGTCTATGTAAATTGCTCCGTTTTGTCTGAATAGATCCAGGTACCCCGCTGCAAGAAGAACAGGAAAGAATGTTGCAACCTGACACTACTTCAGCGGTTGTGTACAAAGTCTATGGAGAGTCAAGAAAATGTTTTAAGTATTTCCTAACAAAACTGGAAATGATTCTCAGTCCCAGATTCATGTCTTAACATCATTTTTGCAGTGACTGACAGTAGGCCTACTTCATCGAGATCTTATATGTACATGTAGGCCTATATGAAGAAATAAAGCAGCGTTAGGTTGCAACATTCTTTCCTTAAACATGTTAAAGGGAATGTACAACATTTGCTTTTGCTGCAATTTTCAGAAATAAATGGATTTGGAGGATTAGTATGTTATAGCAAATATTGTTAATATGACTTGTTTCACGTTTTGGACTTGTAGATGCTGGAAAAACCAAGAAAACCAGTCATGTTCTTGTACATGTAGTCTTGTAGCCTGACCCCACTTAAGATGAACAGAGCAATTTTTGACTTTTGGGAATTGTAAGGTCAGAGATTCAGTCTAGCAGGCTAGTACCCCTTCACAGGTTTGTAATCAATTGCAAATAAAATGCGGAATAACTTATTAGGAAAAATTAGGAACAGTTTTTGAAAAAAAATCCAGTTTTCTCCAACGCTGGTTGGCCTACCAGCATTGGAAAAATACAATTTTTCTTGAAAATGTCAGCACACCAGGAGCCACGATTTTACAGAATGCTTTAGACTGTCATTCCCTAACAATCCAGTAAGGTATTTTGTGAAAATTTGATCATTTCGTTTTGTGAAGTTTGCAAATGTTGTATCTTTCCTTTAAACAGGTCAGTGTAACAAAATTTGCTATAAAATACTAACCCCCAAATCCATCCGTTTCTGAAAATTACAGCAAAAGCAAATCACTGAATTTGATGAAGCTCTCCAGGGCCAGTTTTTAACCCTAGATATGAATGACGTTCGTATAAATTTTATGTGTTGTGTGATTTCCATAGATTGCAGGACAAATGGCCAACCGATCCTACCACAACAGTGCACCCAGCACATCACGGCAGCATCAAGCACCTAAGGTCACAGGGGTCATGGGGCCAAGAGGTCGCGGGGCGGGTCAGAGACACCCGGGGGCGCCGATGAGCGACCAGAAAGCAAAGACTGTTCTCAAGGAAGCGGTAGATGCCGTGGTGAACAGCTTTGCCAAGCACACACAGGGCTACGGAAGAGGTGGGAATTGTGTTAACCCTAACCCCCCAGGCCTTTTTTGCTAGGAACCATCAGATCTTCAATCCTCCAAAACCTCCAAAATTGTGCAACAGCGCCTCAATCCTTTAAAATCGTCAGACAGTCCTGCCTCAAAATGCATTCATTGTCAATCCTCCCAAATCCTCCTCATCCCAAAATTTTGCTCTCATGTTCAAATTAAGGATAACCAACGCCTCGATCCTTCAAAATCATCAGAGGGTCCTGCATTCATCCTCAATCCTCCAAAATCATCTTCATCTTCAAACACCATTCATCCTCAATCCTCCAAAATCCTCATGTGCTGAAACACCGTTCATCCTCAATCCTCCAAAATCCTCGTGTTTCTAAAACACCATTCATCCTCAATACTCCAAAATCCTTGTGTTTCTAAAACACCATTCATCCTCAATCCTCCAAAATCCTTGTGTTTCTAAAACACCATTCATCCTCAATCCTCAACATTCCTCCAAAAGCACAATGAGGATTTTGGAGGATTGAGGTGGGTTTACCCTCGAATTCAATAAATTGGGTTTTGCCCTTCACCGATGCATTTGTTAGAAACACTGTAGGCCCTATACTTGGTGTTGTCCTGATTGATTGTGAAAAAAATAATTCACCAGCTACTCTGGTGGACTCAAACCCAGGACCTCCTGTTATTAAAATAGTGCAATTCAATACTGCAAACCAAATAATGAATTTACGTCAACCACATGCAAAATTCTTTCTTTATGAATAATTACCTAAACAGCTTGGGGGAATTGCCTGACTTTGGGGGACGCACTGTATCAAGGTCGTAGGCCAGACCTTGTGTTGGTTATGCTCAGCAGTACATAAATTTAGGCCTACATGTACATGTATAGGCCCTATTACCATGATTACACTTAAAATCCTCCGCACTGCTCCAGGATGTCACTGGCTCTGCCTCAACATATTGACAGTGATTGCTGGAGGATTTTGCAGGATTGAGGCAGTGGTCACCCCTCCAAGGACCAAATTCAAGAAATAAGAGGATTTTGCAGGATTGAGGCTGTATGCTACATGTACATGCATTTTTACATGGAGGCACTGGGAGGATTTTGTGGGATTGAGGTTGCTTCCCAGCAAAAAATGCCTAGGGAGTTAAGGTTAAACAAAAGAAAATGTGGCTTGAAAAACTGTGCCTGCGTATTGAATGTTAGCAAGGAATCCAGTCCTCAGGCCCCCCCCCCCCCCAAAAAAAACCCAAATGGGCATTATATGTTTTCTCTGTTTTGTACTACATGTAGGTTAATTAAATGCATGAAAATGTTCATGTACATGTATGCTCCCTACTTTAGATTTTGATCAATTTGTTGCTTTGACTTTTGAGTAAAAAAACACGGCGTGAAAAGCAAATGATCTTGTTTACATTCAACACGGTTCTCCTTATGGTTTTTTGTTTATCCTTTTCCACTGTTACAGTCAATGTTGTGGAGGCTTTGCAGGAATTTTGGCAGATGAAAGCCTCGCGTGGTGCCGAACTGAAAGGAGGCCCTCTAGTGATCTACGAGTCGGTTCCTTCGTCCTGCCCGCCGTACGTCTGCTTTGTCACCCTGCCAGGGGGCAGTTGCTTTGCCAGTTTCCAGGTAGAACAAAAACTCATGTCCTTTCTGTTAACTCTTTCAGTGCCAAACTCGTACATGTACGAGGTATATTTGTTAGTACAAAAGCGCCAACCTCGTACATGTACGAGGTAATGTTCGTACTTAACATTGCCAGACCTCGTACATGTACGAGGTAGAGTAAATATGTTATCAAAAGGGGACGCTCTCGCTTTTTCTAATGGTACCATTTTCATGCATGTACGACCTGTATTTATTTTTTCATTCGAGTTCTTGCGAGAGGGCGCAGCACTAAATCTCATATTTTCTGCAAAGAGTGCGGAATTCCCCTGTGTTCAGGCCAGTGTTTCAGGGTGTATCACTATGTTTGTGACTACTTTTGACTTTCCAATATATCAAGGATATACCAGAGAGCAACAACAACAAATTTAGTGAGTAAAACTTATTTACTTTTTTTTTTACAGAATTTCGAACAACTAACAAAAACGCTCGAAATTGGGCACTTTAGGGTTAAACTTTTCAAATTTCGCGGGCACTGAAAGAGTTAAGCACCATCGATATCAGAATTTTCAACAATCGATATATCAGAAACCCAATATCGAGAATATTCAATATATCGAAAAAAGTTAAAGACCATAAAGATGACAATTTGATTGAAAAAATCCTCAATCTTATGTAAGTCCCAGTTTCCACTGCATTTTGTGGAGCATATTGCTCAAACTTTTTAAAACAAACCTCAGCACTGACAGTTTGTCCAGAACGGGCGGTTTCTTTTGAGGTTTGACATTAGGGAGACCGCGAATGTAGAGCACAAAGCGACGTCGCTTGGCATTTTGCAAAATTTTTAGTTTCAGTCATAAGCACAAGTTGCCGCCGAGTTTTATTTCATTAAACAGCAAATGTTAAACACAAAGTAAAAGCACAAACAGGAGATTTCTTTTGATGATAGTTTGACACATTTTTGATATTTTTGATATCATTCCTCAATATCCAAAATGTCAATATTTCAATATGATAAAAAAAATTTGCTATCAGTGATAATGATATGGAAATAATATCAAATAATCGAGTAATATCATATATCGACGGTGCTTATTTGCTGTCTAGAATGGTTTGAGCTTTTCAAAAAACCAAGCTGGTTAGGTGTTGGATTTTGAAAATCCATGGTACTAAGTGTCAAAAAAAGTCATACTTTTGATCCTAATTATTAAACTTTGTTGTTTAGCAAAAGCATTACATTTTGTACCATGGTAAGCCCAAATTTGAGATCATGTAAACAAGGCATGGCAAATTTTATGAGTTTCATCGTGAGTTTCATCATTTTGTGAGTTTCATCGGCTTTGTGCAGAAGGTTGAGATTTAAACGCCATGGTCTTTTTTTTAATGCTTCCCTTCTATTTTGCCAGAACTGCCCAACTAAGGCTGAAGCTCGGCGCAGTGCAGCCAAGATTGCCTTAATGAACTCCGTCTTCAATGAGCACCCTTCCAGAAAAATCACCGACGACTTCATCAATAAAGCAGTCACAGATGCCAAATCATCTTTCCAGGTATGTAAGTATAGTAATGTTGTGCATCAGGTCAGGCATGTCAGCTTGACCAGGCAAAACCTAATAATAATGATAATAATAATAATGGGTATTTATCAGTGTTGTAGTATTCGTACTCAGTGCTCGTACTCCAGTACTACTTGAGTTCTTTTTTGGAGTACTCGAAATCGTACTCGAATGTCAAAGTACTCGTACTCGAAATGACGTTACTCGTACTCGGGCAGCAAAGTATCCGTACTTGACATGTCGAAATTGTACTCGATCATCAAAGTACTCGTACTCGAATGGCAGTACTCGGGGAAAAAATTAATGGTATAGCTTGACTTACCACGGCCTTATTTTATCGATGCTTTCTGTTTGAAATGGTTGATTGGCTTGTAGAGAAATCAAAGTTTCCTGATTTTCCTCTGTGCACGTCCGGACAAACACATTCGACAGCTAGCAGTGAGTGGGTCTGTATATCGGTCTGACTGGGCCTGGGCCAATTACGCACAATGAACCATTTGCCGTATGACCGTATTCAGAAATACAAGTAATCGTACTTGTACTCGGAAGTACCAGTACTTGTAATCGTACTCAGAAGTACAAGTACTCGTACTCGTACTCGGCAACCTAAGTACTCGGCAGTACTCGGCAGTACTTGGTACTTGGAAAAAAGTACTCGACTATAACACTGGTATTTATAAAATGTAGGTATCCACCATTATTGGTGCTCAATTTCAAGAGTTTATGACTGTCTATCAGCTTCATCATTATTACCCGGCTCGCTGGGCCAGTGAAACATTCCAAAGACCATCTCAGCTCCCTGGGGAGTATACAGCTCGATGCTGCCACTTCGGCACAAAGCAGCTTAAAAAAAAGTGCAATCACAATAACCATCTCTGCCCTCACGGGTACCCATTTACATGTGCTCCTGGGTGGAGAGAAGCAATGAGTGGCAAAGTGCCTTGCCCGGGCACGGCGGAATTACCTGCAGACCACAAATTTAATGCTCCAGACCACGAAGCCATGGCACTCCACCTATCCGAAACATAGATGTGAACCAAAGTAAAGTAAAGTCTATCCCGAGCCAATGTGACTCATCAGGCCGGCGTTTACCTCCGGTTTCAGTAGCATGAAACGACTGAGAATATTTCTACTCACCCTGGATGGGATGCTAGTCCATCGCAGGTTACTCCCCAGCATTTATACTCCTGGGTGGGGAGGGGCAAGTGGGGGTGAAGTGCCTTGCCCAAGGACACAATATATGACCAGCGGCTGGATTCGAACCCCGGACCCTCTGATCATGAGTCATGAACCCTAACCACTAGGCCACACACTCCCCAGATGTGAACCAAACCCAATCTGAAATTCCCAAACTGTGGCCCAAGAAATTCCATGCTAACAACCACTCCAAATTCCTGCTGAAATTTCAAGAGTTTATGACTGTCTATCAGCTTAATTTAATTTAGCTGTTCTTTTTCCGTAGGGTTCCCCCGAGGATGAGAATGACCCTAACACCAGCCTGGGTGCCTTCCGCTTCATGCTGGAAGCCAATCGATCCAAGTCCATGCTGGAATTCCAAGAGCTGATGACCGTCTTCCAACTGCTCCACTGGAACGGCAGCCTGAAGGCCATGAGAGAGCGGGACTGCTCTCGACAGGTAAGACTTCAAGTTTAAGAGTTCTTCTGTCACTTAGTGGAGTGTCATGGACTAGCGGTTAAGAGCACCGGACTCATGCTCTGGTGTTTCAGAGGCAACAGTGTCGGGGTTCGAGCCCGGGCCCGGACACTTGTGCCCTTGAGCAAGGCACTTAATCATTATTGCTTCGTCCTTCGGATGGGACGTTAAGCCGGAGGTCCTGTGTGATAAGGCCTGACATACGTAAAAGAACCCATTAACACTTATCCGTAAGAGAAGGGGTTTGCCCTGGTGTTTCTGGCCTCATAGTTATACTTCCTTGTGGAAGTCCTTAAGAGAAGAACCAACCAAGTACCAAGTAGTTGGTTGGTTCAGCCCAGTCATGACTCACAGCTCGTGACTTCAGCAGTGTACATGTATCTTGATGAACAGGATGGACAATCTGCAGCAAGAGCATGTACCAGTTAGAGCCAGTTAGAGCTTCTGTCAAACAGTCTTGTTCTGGGTCGTCCTGTCCTGGATCCAACTTGCGAATGAGGAGAGTCAGGTTGGCGCAGCGGTACTTTCCGCGCCTTCCACCGCTGTGACCCGGGTTCGAATCCCGCCCGGGCCAATATGTGGATTGGGTTTTCAGTCCCTACCTGATTCCGTGGGTTTTCCTCAGAATATTCCTCTGGGCTTTTCCTCCCACCTCTAAAACTGTAATTTCTTCACATTGCCTTCTCTCTACAGGTTTCTTCAGGCTTGCGAGCTACAGTGCCTAGGACACTTTTGATAGATCATTGGTTTCATTACCAAAAAGGAATTAAAAAGAAAAAAAGAAAAGAAAAAAAAAACAATTCACAAACAGGATTTTCACTCCCCACTTATTTTGGAGTAGATTGCAGGACGTCAAGAACAAAGATCGTGGGCTTAGGCCCCAACTGCTACTTGCAGTAATGTTTTTGTACATGTATTACAGCTATTCATTCAGTGCAGGAGCAATAATGATAAGCAAATATTGTACACAAGTGGGCTTGTCTTTGCCAATAGTTGTTCGAGGATGTACACAATTTTCTTTAGATCGTTGAGCCTAACGGAACTCAACCCATCAAACCCCAACGACGTGTTTGTTGGAATCTGTCAGGATGGGTACAGTACCCTATTAAACTGACAGACTTTTACATTGGGCTGGCACACCTCCAGAATCAAAGTCAGAAATATGCGTGCACTTTCCCATATGGTGCTGGAATTTGCCAGAATGGGTATGGTTCCTAGTAAATCATGCTAGGGAGTTAGGGTTAATTATTCCTTCCAAATATTCAATACGGCGGCTGCCATCTTGAATTTTCGCCCAGCTGCATGCACACAACTCCACACACATTTGGGCGTTCGTAATCGGCAACCCGAGAACACTGTTCATGGGTCACTCAAGAACAGGGTTTCGAATTAATTTCCCGAGTGCTTCACAATTATTTTCCCTGTTCATCAGGCCGTGAGACCAGTTTTCTGCAGCACTTTTAAATCTGGTCTCGAACCATTCAGGTATCCATCTATACTGCTGGAAGAAGAGAGGCAATTGTAGTAAAGCGTCTTGCCCAAGGAAACGAGCACCATGTTCCGTCGACACAGTTACCATGGGACCATGAAAACCAAAGAAAACCTTCTTTTTCACAAACTGGTTTTCGCTTTATCAAAGTGAAAATGAAAGCTAAATCATCATAAATCAATCCTGTGGACTACATGTTTGTAAGTTGAAACGGTTCCGCAATGGCGCTGGACCCTGCAGGGCTACCGTCAAAACATGTAGGTGGAACAGCAGGGTCTCTGTACCTGCGGTGCTGAGGAGACGATGGAACATATTATGGAGGATTTCCCTCTACAGCAGTTCCAAGGCGGCCTCTTGGCACTTCATCTCGCAGACGACCAGGAGGTCATAGTAAGGCTTTGCCAGACAACCATTGGCAAATAACATTCGGACAACAGCATTCGGGGAGAGAATCAATTAATTAACCCATACCCCAAAGTGCCCTGCCTGTTACTCCTTATACCGCCCCAAACTACCCCAACAATGTATTGGTTTATGGATTCTTCCATACAATGCAGTACAGTGGAACACTGCTATAGGCCCTAACGAACATCGCTGGATCCACAGAAATTGTTCGTAATAGCGATCATTCGGTATAGCGATTTGAAGCTGCCAGTGCTCTGGTACTCACTTTACAATAAATAGCGCCCTTCAGAACTTCACCCTGCACGCCCTGGTAGTTACTGAAAGACGACTTTGAACACTTGCCGACTATTGAATTATGTAATTTTGAGCTAGTACTACCTACCGGTACAGCAATGCATGGCTTTCCCTTTCTATTCCTTGGCGATATAATAGCCACTTGTCACTCTTCTGTCCAGTCTGTTGATATTTTTCAACAACAATGTTCGGTACGTTTTGTACACAAAAATCTGGAGCCAAGAACGATGTCTGGTATAGCCGGATGTTTGGTATAACGGTGTTCGGTAGATAGCGGCATTCCACTGTATAGTATAATGTAATACAAATGCTGAAGGATTAAGTAACCAAATAATTGTTTCTCTTGCACTGTTGCAGGAGGTGCTGGCCCACTACTCTCACCGGAACCTGGACGACGACATGAGGAGCCAGATGGCCCTTGATTGGATCTCAAGGGAGCAGGAGATTGTCGGGATCATCGCCGAGGAGCTCCAGCGAGCCGACGACGAGATTGAGACCGCGAGACTGGCTGGGAGAGAGCTCAGATTCCCCAAGGAGAAGAAAGATATCCTCATGTTGGCTTGCAGTCAGCTGGGCCCTGGCTAGGCAGGTATTTGACCCCAGTGTCCCTGAATCCTACAAAATCCTTTAAATTCCAAGACTTTGATATATAGAGGTGGCTTGGTTGGCTGGGAGAAAGCCAAGTTTCCTTAAAGGAAAGATATCCTCATGTTGGCTTGCAGTCAGCTGGGCCCTGGCTAGGCAGGTATTTGACCCCAGTGTCCCTGAATCCTACAAAATCCTTTAAATTCCAAGACTTTGATATAGAGGTGGCTTGGCTGGCTGCGAGAAAGCCAAGTTTCCTTAAAAGAAAGATATCCTCAAGTTGGCTTGCAGTCAGCTAGGCCCTGGTTAGGCAGGTATTAATTCCAGTGTAACTGAATCCTACACTTTCTGTATGATTTTCTCCCAAGGCTGGTAAGGAGAGAATTAAGTTTTCCTAAAAAGAGAAAGATATTAGATACTCTCGTGTTGGCTTGCAGTCAGCTTCATGTACGCCCTCGTTAGGCAGGTTTTGACAGTTGGTTATGATGGATTCAGGAGTGTAGAATAAGATCCAAAGTACTCTAATATTTTACATACATGGACATGTACATTAGACTTAACTGGCCCAAATAGGTTCTGATCGTATGACGACAAAGTACCACGTGACCATCCGGTTTCCCTGTGATTGGCCACCATTGCAGTAGCCAACTGTTGGCTTAGCAACCACATTGTGCATTATAAACTAGCCAGTGAGGCTTGTAATTATAGCCTCAAATTCTTTATCAACTGACCAATATATGTGACCTGTTCTGTCAAAAGCAGATGCTTCTGGGCAGAGGTTGAAATTGAGATAGGGCCAAAAGTGCTGTGGGGATGATTTTTTTTCCCCGATTTTTTAATTTTTGCCTATTTGTAATCTTGAACATGTCTAAAATATATAATAAAAGTTTGAAACCCTAATTTGAACTCTAAATATAGTATTTTTGATGATTTGTTAAGGTATATCAGTTAAAGAAATGTCACTTGAAACAGGTCTTAAAATAGACCCCAAACTTTAAGTGCCATTTTCTCTGTTTTGTACTTTTCGACACGATGAACTTCAAAATAGCTTAAACTTTGCCCAGGAATGACCGGTTTCAAAATTAAACCACCTATTAAAAGGAAAATGTAAATATTTTAATCAAAAATCTCATTTTTGACCTTACGTGTATGCCCAGAAAAAGTCTGATTTTGACAGAACAGGACACATATAATGATCACTACATGTTCCTGTGCCTTGTGGAACAGTCACCACATCAACCCAATTCTGGGTGTTGGCTGTGCGTTTTTCTCACAGTGTTTGTCATTCATAAAGGCTTTGAAGGCTTGTTACTACCTACTGCGCAATGCGCTATACAATCTTTGCCTACTGCAATGGCGAGGCCGACTTTCCAGTGCCCATATGTACATAATTATTGGCAGGGTCTTGATATGAGAGAGCCCTAAACTCTGTGTCATTAATTTTCTGCATTGCTGAATTTTGGAAGACTCCGGAGATCCATATGAAACTGGAAAGGGACCTTGATGAATAAATTAAAATTTGTGTCAGACATTTAAAAAAAAATATTGTATTTTCGCAGCACTATTGTGACTGACACTAATTTTCCACCAAAATGCATTAGTTGAAGTGCCTGAAACACACATTTATTTTTATCTGCGCTCCGATTTTACATGGATACTCTTAAATTGATTTTGGTTTGACTGATTATGTTAAGTTGTGCAGCACTGTTCATGAATTCCCAGTTCGTTTGAACATTTTACATCATGAGCTTGTATATATGTATTGCTTGTCCAAGGCGTCTTTTCTCTTACTCAGTTTTCATCGGTGGTGGTGTAAAGCGATGGTACCTATTCATTTGTTTGTTCGCTTTGTTCACTATAATTTAAAAAAAGATTTCTGATGGCGTCCCAAAACAAGATTCCTCGATTAGAATTTAATCAAAATCTGATGGTGCATCCTGCGTGTCATGTGTTGTAACCTACCGAATTGTTGTAAACGATGGTGCTAAAAATCAGGTGACAGACTATGGTTTGTCATTTCACCCCCAGTTTACTGCAGAAACGTTTTCAGATCACGTACTGGGATACTCTGATGAATTCACACTCTGATTGGTTGGATTTTGCATGACCTGTGACATGCGCGTCATCACGGTCATGACTCTGCAAGGTTTGAAACGGCTGTTAAGACTGATTTATTACTCTTTTATTCCAGTTAAGAGACGGTTCTCTTTCATTGAAAAGCGTAATTATGTAGGAAAATCTGCTCAGGCTCCGTTTCAAATCACGAATTGTTGGATTGCATTATGTGACGCTCAAAATTGTGTCCACATAGTCCACATTTATCCGAAGTTTTCGGGTATCATTTACACATATTGCCTAACTGCGTTCTTGAACAGCTGCAGCCAGATGCTTTATGCATAGGTCATAGGCCACTTCCTTCACAAGATTCTGTGAAGCTCATCAGAGTATCCCAGCGTCCTGTTTGCAGGGCGAGGGGGTACGAGCGATTCCTGGAGGTTGGTAACATCAAATCAGTATATTTCAAATTATGTTACTTAGAACAAGATGTTGCCGTTATGTTGAAGAATGTAACTGGACCATGTAGGAGGTTGGTATTTTTTATTTAATTCCCCCTTTTATAGTATACAAATAATGAATGTTTGTCAGTGCAATGGTAAGAATAATTTCATGAGGTGACAGATGAAATGTTCCATTCCACGAGGCGAAGCCGAGTGGAATGGCACATTTCATCTGTCACCGAATGAAATTATTCTTTCCATTGCACGAACGTGAAACATTCATTATTTGTTTTATATAACACCTGAATAAATACTTGTCATCTGATTGGTTGACTTTTAATAGCCAATTTATTCAGGTTAAAAACTGTTTGAAAGTTTGACAAGGAAGTTCATCATATTTAATTTATGCAAACTGTTCAACAGGTTGAGAACCATCATATTCAAGTAATCTCGATTTAAAACAGCGCCACCGCCAGCAGCGAGGACACCGTGCAATGGAAGTTCTATTCACCGTGCAATGGAACTTCCATTGCACTGCGCGCCGCGCCGCGCGCCGTGCGTTGGGACGAATAATTCAATAACATGTGATCAATGATCCACCAATCAGATGACGGGGATTTATTCAGGTGTTGTATAATACAACATGTACAGCATGTGTTTGTATTATATCATCTTCTTATCCGTGCTGAGTTATTGCATGACGTACATTTTTTTTTAATTTTTGTTCTTTTTCTTTTATAATTAGGTGTCTGTTTTATCTTACACATACGAAGAGCATTTATGATGTGCAGTAAGCATCAGTTGAACTTCAGCATTTTATCATTCCATGCTTAACTTTATTCATTTTATAACAGATTTTATTGCATGTGGTTATTAATGGGCAGATTTTAAAGTTGGCAACATGTTTGTTGTTTAGATTTATTTATATATTAGTTACTTTAAGCTACAGAGGGGTGTGGTGTAGTGGCCATGGGCAGTGTTGTAACCGAGTCCAGCACAAATATCTGCAAGTCCATCACAAGTCCATCACAGGTCCTTCAGTCTCAATCAGTGTTGTAGTACTCGTACTCAAGTACTAGTACTCGAGTATTTTTATGCCCCGCGGCGAAGCCGAAGGGGCATACTGTTTCTGCCTTGTCCTTCCGTGGGTGGTGTGTGTGTGGGTGGGTGGGTGGGTGGGTGTGTGGGTGGGTGTGTGTGTCCGGACAAATCTTGTCAGCGCGATAACTTGAGAAATACTTAACATATGAACTTCAAATTTGGTTTGTGGATTGTCCTTGGTAATCCTAAGAAGCCTTTCGCATTTTGGGCCGAAAGGTCAAGGGTCAAGGTCACAGTGGCTGAAACAATAGAAATTTTGTCAGCGCGATAACTTGAGAAATACTTTACATATGAACTTCAAATTTGGTTTGTGGATTGTCCTTGGCAATTCTAAGAAGCCTTTTGCATTTGGGGCCAAAAGGTCAAGGGTCAAGGTCACAGTGACTAAAACAAAAGAAATTTTGTCAGCGCGATAACTTGAGAAATACTTTACATATGAACTTCAAATTTGGTTTATGTATTGTTCTTGGTAATCCTAAGAAGCCTATTGCATTTGGGGCCGAAAGGTCAAGGGTCAAGGTCACAGTGGCTGAAACAATAGAAATTTTGTCAGCGCGATAACTTGAGAAATACTTTACATATGAACTTCAAATTTGGTTTGTGGATTGTCCTTGGCAATCCTAAGAAGCCTTTTGCATTTGGGGCCAAAAGGTCAAGGGTCAAGGTCACAGTGGCAAAAACAAAAGAAATTTTGTCAGCATGATAACTTGAGATATACTTTACATATGAATTTCAAATTTGGTTTGTGGATTGTCCTTGGCAATCCTAAGAAGCCTATCGCATTGGGGGTCGAAAGGTCAAGGGTCAAGGTCACAGTGGTTAAAACAATAGAAATCTTGTATTTATTCTGAGATCATAGGGATTAGGGATTAATTCATATAAAACCTACAGAAGACACTAATGCTGTCAATGAACGTTCCATTTGACCAAGGTACATGTAAGTTGATGTTAGAGTGGTGTTATGTCATGGAAACAGTCACGGTTGCGGGGCATTTGTGTTTGTAAACACATCTGACTTGTTTTTAGAGTACTCGTCCTCCTACTCGTACTCAAATGTCAAAGTACTCGTACTCGAAATGACAGTACTCGTACTCGGGCAGCAAAGTACTCGTACTCGACATGTCAAAATAGTACTCGATCACCAAAGCACTCGTAGAGCAGTACTCGAGAAAAAAAAAATGGTAGGCCCTATAGCTTGACTTACCACAGCCTTATTTAATCAATACTTTCAGTTTGAAATGGTTGATTGGCTTGCGGGGAAATCAAGGTTTCAGGCACGCACGTCCAGACAAACACATTTAACAGCTAGCCAAGAGTGAATCTATATGTCTGACTGGGCCAGGGCCAAATGCGCACAATGAACCATTTGCTGTATGGCTGTATTCGGAAATTTTATACAAGTACTCTTTCACTTACTCGTGCTCGGAATACAAGTACATGTACTCGTGCTCTTACTCGTACTTCGAAGTGCTCCTCGTGCTCGTACTCGTCAGTACATGTACTTATACTCAGAGACCTGTACTTGTACACGGAAGTACAAGTACTCATACACGGTACTCGGGGAAAAAAGTACTAGAGTACAACACTGGTCTCAAGTCAAGTCACTAGCTGTTCAAGTGAACTGTTACAATTTGCATTCCTTTGTCTTTGTTCACCCCGTTACTTGTGACTGGACTT